CAAGTGCAGATAAAAGTACAGATACAAGTACAGATACAAGTACAGACACAAGTACAAATACATGTACAGATACAAGTACAGATAAAAGTACAGATACAGACACAAGTACAGATACAAGTACAGATACAAGTACAGATACAAGTACAGATACAAGTACAGATACAAGTACAGATACAAGTACAAATACAAGTACAGACACAAGTACAGACACAAGTACAGATACATGTACAAATACAAGTACAGATACAAGTACAGATACAGACACAAGTACAGATACAAGTACAAGTACAGATACAAGTACAGATACAAGTACAGGTACAAGCACAGGTACAGATACAAGTACAGGTACAGATACAAGTATCGATGCAGATACAGGGTACAGGTACAAGCAAAGGTACAGATACAAGTACAGGAAAATACAAGAACAGGTACACGTACAAGTGCAGGTACAAGAACAGGTACACGTACAAGCGCAGGTACAAGAACAGGTACAGATACAAGTACAGATACAAGTATAGATGCAGGTAAAGATATGAGTACAGGTTACAGATGCAAGTACAGATGCAGGTACAGGGTACAGGTACAAACAAAGGTACAGATACAAGTACAGATACAAGTACAGATGCAGGTACAGATGCAGATACAGGGTACAGGTACAAGCAAAGGTACAGATACAAGTACAGGTACAAGAACACGTGCAGATACAAGTACAGGTACAGATGCAGGTACAGGGTACAGGTACAAGCAAAGGTACAGATACAAGTACAGGTACAAGAACACGTACAGATACAAGTACAGGTACAGATGCAGGTACAGGGTACAGGTACAAGCAAAGGTATAGATACAAGTACAGGTACAAGAACACGTGCAGATACACGTACAGGTACAGATGCAGGTACAGGGTACAGGTACAAGCAAAGGTACAGGTACAAGTACAAGCACAAGCACAGGTACAGATACAAGTACATGTACATGCACAGGTACAAGTACAGGTACAGATGCAGGTATAGATACAAGTACAGGTACAAGTACAGGTACAGATACAAGTACAAGTACAGGTACAAGCACAGGTACAGATACAAGTGCAGGTACAGATACAAGTACAGGTACAGATACAAGTACAAGTACAGGTACAAGCACAGGTACAGATGCAGGCACAGATACAAGTACAGGTACAGATACAAGTGCAGGTGCAGATACAAGTACAGGTACAGATACAATTACAGGTACAAGCACAGGTACAGATACAAGTACACGTACAAGCACAGGTACTACCACCTGAGATCCCTAGCCCGAGAATTGCTGTTCGACACCACAACCGCATCCAGCCCATACGTGCACGAACTGATCGCTATAAGAACAGCCCAGTCCCAACCATTGTAAAAATTATCAATAACTTGTAATAAACCAGTGTATTCACTCCCAGTAAATACTACTTCTTGCACTGTCACTATGTTGAAATGCACTGTAGTTTGAGCTTTTCCCCATCTAGTTATTATATATCTTATTTGTATCACTTATGTTACTTGTATATTATTTGTAATTCCAAACCCATTCCCCAAATATGTAACTGTATATTTTCAGCCTTCTGGCTGCCAAGCTCTTTCAATAAACCGTTAATTATTATTATATTTATTTATTATTATTACAGATACAAGTACAGGTACAAGCACAGGTACAGATACAAGTACAGGTACAGATACAAGTACAGGTACAAGCACAGGTATAGATACAAGTACAGGTACAAGCACAGGTATAGATACAAGTACAGGTACAAGCACAGGTATAGATACAAGTACAGGTACAAGCACGGGTACAGGTACAAGCACAGGTACAGATACAAGTACAGGTACAAGCACAGGTATAGATACAAGTACAGGTACAAGCACAGGTATAGATACAAGTACAGGTACAAGCACAGGTACAGGTACAAGCACAGGTACAGATACCAGTACAAGCACAGGTACAGATACAAATACAGATACAAGTACAGGTACAAGCACAGGTACAGGTACAAGCACAGGTACAGATACCAGTACAAGCACAGGTACAGATACAAATACAGATACAAGTACAGGTACAAGCACAGGTACAGGTACAAGCACAGGTACAGATACAAGCACAGGTACAGCTTCAAGCACAGGTACAGCTTCAAGCACAGGTACAGATACAAGTGCAGATGCAGGTACAGAATTAACTTGGTCAATACATGAATAAAACAGTCACAGAATAATTAGTTAATGTAAGGGGATGACAATCCGGGGCGGAACGGGGCGGGGCGCCGGGGCAGTGATGGTGGGGCAGGACTCGGGGGAACGGCCATCGTACACATTGTAACAATTATCGTACACATTGTAACAATTATCGTACACATTGTAACAATTATAGTAAACATTGTAACAATTATCGTACACATTGTAACAATTATCGTACACATTGTAACAATTATCGTACACATTGTAACAATTATCGTACACATTGTAACAATTATAGTAAACATTGTAACAATTATCGTACACATTGTAACAATTATCGTACACATTGTAACAATTATCGTAAACATTGTAACAATTATCGTACACATTGTAACAATTATCGTACACATTGTAACAATTATCGTAAACATTGTAACAATTATCGTACACATTGTAACAATTATCGTAAACATTGTAACAATTATCGTACACATTGTAACAATTATCGTACACATTGTAACAATTATCGTAAACATTGTAACAATTATTGTACACATTGTAACAATTATCGTACACATTGTAACAATTATCGTAAACATTGTAACAATTATCGTACACATTGTAACAATTATTGTACACATTGTAACAATTATCGTACACCTTGCAACAATTATCGTAAACATTGCAACAATTATCGTAAACATTGTAACAATTATCGTAAACATTGTAACAATTATCGTACACATCGTAATAAACATTGTAACAATTATCGTACACATCGTAACAATTATCGTGCACCTTGTAACAATTATCGTACACCTTGTAACAATTATCGCTAACCCTGTAACAATTATCGTACACCTTGTAACAATTATCGTACACCTTGTAACAATTATCGTACACCTTGCAACAATTATCGTACACCTTGTAACAATTATCGTACACCTTGCAACAATTATCGTACACCTTGTAACAATTATCGTACACCTTGCAACAATTATCGTACACCTTGTAACAATTATCGTACATCATTCACCACCCGCAAAAAAGTAGAATCACATGATGATTATCCTCAAATTATTTTCACTTGATTAAATACCCTAATGCTATACCCGGAGGGGGTTAGATTAATGTGTGTGTCAGATTGTCACCAGTGAGGACTGGTGGTGATGTAAAATTCATAACTTAAAAAAAAAACATGTGAAATCAATTGGCAACATGAATGTCTTAAAGAAAACAACAAATGAATTATACAAATTCAGTGACATCCTCCACCGCACTGTGTGACGTCACGTGGCCAGGGGGCCATTATCTAGCTGAGTCAGTCAGTGTGTTTCACAACTTTTGTTTTATTTTATCCTCTTCACCACTGATCGGATTGTTAGCTGCTTGGGCGGTCGGTTACGTCTCTGTTACGCCCGCGCAAGTACTGGGCTTGCACTGGTTCCTGAATGTATCATAACCTGCCCCCGTGTTGGTCAAGTGTGGCCTTGAACACTGGCAGGTTGCTCCGATAATTCTCACTCGGAAAAAGTTTGCCCTCAGTTTTCTGGACTTGTGGCTTCTTCAACCTTGAGCCGAAGCCAATTCTTACTTCCCTAAGTGAGGAAATCATCAGTGATCACCACAGGATAGTTAAGTGAAGCAAAAGTCAACTGATTTAGAGTGAAAAGACCACAATATACCTACTTGCTGACTTCTTAATCTCTATACAATGTTGTCTTTGTAAACATCTCAGTACTTGAGAGATTAACTTAACGACACATTCAATTAGGGAATTATATTTTATTTTTTAAAAGTCTGAGGATAATTCAAAGACTTAAGAATAACACGGTTGAGTTTTGCTTCAGAAGGACACGCTGGATTGGTCCCCTGTACTCCTCAACACTGGATTCTTATTAGGTACCTTAAGATACGTTAATTTTTCATGTAACAGGAAATAAAAGAACGCAAATGGTTACAGTGAATTAAGAGATGTAACACGTGACTAATCCTGGTGTAACAGTTTACTAGTGGACGCCAGTTAAAAGTTCAGGTGTTAAAAGATCACAGGGACTGAGTTATGACAAGGTGAATAAACATGAAGAAAAACTTACCCTCACTTTACAGCCTGGAAGTGTTCACAGACAGTAGACACCTGTCCTGTACGAGGTGACGGACAGTACACACCTGTCCTGTACGAGGTGACGGACAGTACACACCTGTCCTGTACGAGGTGACGGACAGTACACACCTGTCCTGTACTAGGAGACGGACAGTACACACCTGTCCTGTACTAGGTGACGGACAGTACACACCTGTCCTGTACTAGGTGACGGACAGTACACACCTGTCCTGTACTAGGTGACGGACAGTATACTCCTGTCCTGTACTAGGTGACGGACAGTACTCACCTGTCCTGTACTAGGTGACGGACAGTACTCACCTGTCCTGTACTAGGTGACGGACAGTACTCACCTGTCCTGTACTAGGTGACGGACAGTACTCACCTGTCCTGTACTAGGTGACGGACAATAGGCCCCTGTCCTATGCAGTAGTTTTTTTCCTTGGATCACTCACAATAACAAAACACAAAAACCTTCACTGTACACAAACACTAGATAATATAATCACCACTTTGTGTTTGTATGTTGAGCAAGTGTATGTATGTATGTGTGTCTGGAGTACTTGGGAGATGTTTGTGTTGAGATACTGTGGGAGAGGGACAGTGGACGTGGGTGACGGGATATAACCGGCTGACGATGACAGCTACCAGTAAGGCTAACACACACTAGTAAGATGGTGATCAGAGGCTGCCAGTAGTACCAGCGTCGGGCGAGGTGGTACAGTCCTCCTGTTGCCTCCACGTGTTCTGTTAAACTGACTGTCCTTCCTGTGCTGGCCTGCCATTTGTGTCTACCCTGAACCTGCCCCCCTCCTCCTCCTCCTTCTTACCTCAATACCTGCCCCCCTTCTCCCCCTCAGTACCTGCCCCCCTTCTCCCCCTCAATACCTGCCCCCTCAACCCCCTCTCCGCCTTCCCTGAACATGCCCTCCTCCTCCCTCTTACCTCAATACCTGTCCCCTTCTCCCCCTCAACCCCCTCTCCTCCTACCTTGAACCTGCCCCCTCTACGCCTCCCTCAATACCTGCCCCCTCTCACCACCACCTAACCCTCCCCTTCCCCACCGTCCCTCCACCAACAGCACCACCGTCCATCCACATACATAAAACTCTAGTCAAAAGTTAACTCCGCTCTGCCAACACATCACACGTTAAGTTTATCCAGCAAAACCTCTATTTAACGGACGAGATGGAGAGGAATTCCGTTATATTGAGGTAGTCCGCTAGATGTGTACCCCATCTAACGATTATACAGAAAGAGAAGTCAGTTATGATTGGGGTCTTTTGTTTTGAGGAGGAACGTGAGAGTGTAGAAGGGGGAGGTGGAGGGAGTGTGAAGGTGTAGGGAGGGGAGGTGAGGAGCGGAGAGGTAGAAGGGGAGGTGGAGGAGCGTGAAGGTGTAGGGGAGGGGGAGGTGGGAGGGAGGGAAGGTGTAGGGAGGGGAGGTGAGGAGTGGAAGGGCAGGAGGGGGGAGGGAGGAGCGTGAAGGTGTAGGGAGGGGAGGGAGGGAGCGTGAAGGTAGGAGGGGGGGAAGGTGGAGGGAGGAAGGTGGTGGGAGGGGGAGGTGAGAGCGTGAAGGTGTAGGAGGGGAGGTGAGGAGTGTGAAGGTAGGAGGGAGGTGAGGGGAGTGTGAAGGTGTGGGGAGGGGAGGTGAGGAGCGTGAAGATGTGGGGAGGGGGAGGGGGAGGAGCGTAAGGTAGGGGAGGGAGAGGTGGGGAGCGTGAAGGTGTAGGGGAGGGGGAGGTGAGGAGTGTGAAGGTGGGGGAGGGGGGAGGGAGGAGTGTGAAGGGGAGGGAGGGGAGGTGGGAGGAGTGTGAAGGTGTAGGGGAGGGGAGGTGTGGAGTGAAGGTGTGGTGGGAGGGGGAGGGGGAGGGAGCGCGTGAAGGTGTAGGAGGGGAGAGGAGGTGGGAAGGTGTAGGGGGGGAGGTGAGGGAGGGAAGGTGTAGGAGGGGAGGTGAGGGAGTGTGAGGGTGTAGGGGGGAGGTGGAGGGATGCGGAAGGTGTAGGAGGGGAGGGAGGAGCGGAAGGTGTAGGGAGGGGGGAGGAGGGAGCGTGAAGGTGTAGGGGAGGGGAGGTGTGGAGCGTGAAGGTGTAGGAGGGAGAGGTGAGGAGCGTGAAGGTGTAGGAGGGGGAGGTGTGGAGCGTGAAGGTGTAGGAGGGGGAGGTGAGGAGCGTGAAGGTGTAGGAGGGGGAGGTGAGGAGCGTGAAGGTGTCAATAACGCAGGTGATATGTATGTATGTATGTATGTATGCCCGGCAGTGTCGTGTCTGTACACTGCCTTATACACGACTGTGACCTTCGCGACCTTGGCACGCAGAGATGAAGGTCAATGTTTATACACTTGTGACCTTTAGTGCGTAGAGCTCACACACACACACACACACACAGAAATTGACTCAAAATTGGCGCCAAGACTCGTAATGACATCAGGAGACTCATGAGGCCGCCAGTAGACTCATAATGGCACCAGGAGAGTCATAAGGGCACCAGGAGACTCATAAGGGTGCTAGAACTCATAATGGCGCCAGGACACTCATAATGGCGTCAGGAGACTCATAATGGCTCCAGGAGACTCATAATTGGCGCCAGGAGACTCATATTTGGCGACACGACTCATAATTGACACCAGAAGACTCATAATGGCGCCAGGACTCACAACAAAGCCAAGGGACTCATAATGGAGCCAGGACTCTTACCTACACCTGGAGACTGACGCCACTACACCACGCTAGGTCTCCCACACCTGGTACACACCTGAAATAAGAGGGAAGGAAGGGTTAGCAGGTGTGTAGCTTTAAACACAGGTGTGAATGACCTGAAATGTGGCCCTCAACAAATAATAATAATAATAATAATAATAATAATAATAATAATAATAATAATAATAATAATAATAATAATAAAGCCAATAACATTAACAACAACAATAATAGTAATACTAATAATAATAATGACATCATTATTTAGTATGATTATTATAATCATTCCTATCATTCTTATCATTACTATCATTTAGCCTCAACACAAACACAATTTGTCAATCCTTTCGTTATATTATCTGCTTTTTCTTTCTCTCTCTATTCTCTCCTGGTCTCCATCTCCTCCTCTCTCCTTCCCTTCCTCCATCTCCCTTTTTTTTGGGTAGAGAAAGGAGGGGTGAAAGAAGATTAGAGGTGGGGGAAGGAAGTTATAGTTCGGAAATTGAAGATATTTAGGAGGTAAGAGAGGGCGGGCTGACCGCCCAGCTAAGCTAATGGTGCGTTAGGGTTGTGTCATGGGTTACTTATTGTCTGTCGGTACAGGCACTAGACAGCCTACCCTGTCCCATATATGGGTGTTTTGGGGGCCTTATTATTTCATATTCCGCCGACCCTACTGGCGGATGCTGGTCAAGGGAGGTTGTCTATTGCCTGGCCGTATAGATCGGGGGTGGTAATGGACCTTTTGAGATTTGGTAACTTTTTGGGAACCATGTATGGTTGTTGTCGTTATCTGGTGGGAGTCTTTGAAGGAGTTCTTGCTCTGATCGTTCTATCTTTTGCCAGACTCTGCTAGCCAGGGTGTGCAGCTGCTGGGTGATGGGTTTTATTCTCAGGTCTCTATGTATCTCGGCTGTGGTTCTGGTGAAGGGGTATCTTTCACCTGTGACGAATCTTTGGGCTTCATTTTGGATCCCTTGTTATTTTAATATATGAGTGGTGCTTATAGTATGAAGAGGTACTGCTGGGTAAATGAATATCGGTATGATAAATGATGTCACCAGGCGGGGTTTATTTTCCCCTTCTCCCTTCCACCTCCCACCCTCTCCATCTCCCACCTCGTCTCTCCAGCCTGTTACACCCTCTCCTCGCCCTCTTCTCTCTATCTCCCTGCTTCCTACCCTCCCCCTTCTTTCCCTACCCTCACCCAGTAGTGGTCTATAGCTGTGTGTGTGAGTGTACGTCTCACGTGACCTTCAATCTAAGTGTTGTCACCATCTCTTGACTCTTCTCATTTCCTATTTAACAGACAGACAGAATTCATTCCACAAAGCAATGTACAATTATAGACAGCAAGTATATCCTCCTCCTCCTTCTTACCACACTCTAACGCACACATCCTCCTCCTCCTTACCACACTCAAACGCACACATCCTCCTCCTCCTTCACCACACTCTAACGCACACATCCCCCTCCTTACCACACCTAACGCACACATCCTCCTCCTCCCCACACACTCAAACGCACACATCCTCCTCCTCCTTCTTACCACACTCTAACGCACACATCCTCCTCCTCCGTCTTACCACACTCTAACGCACACATCCTCCTCCTCCTTCTACCACACTCTAACGCACACATCCCCTCCCTCCTTCACCACTCTAACGCACACATCCTCTTAATTCTTACCACACCCCCAACGCACACATCCTCCTTCCTTCTTACCACACTCTAACGCACACATCCCTCTCCTACCACACTCTAACGCACACATCCTCCTCCTCCTTCTACCACACCAACGCACACATCCTCTTAATTTTACCACTCTAACGCACACATCCTCCTCCTCCTTCTTACCACACCCAACGCACACATCCTCTTAATTCTTACCACACTCTAACGCACACATCCTCCTCTTCCTTCTTACCACACTCAACGCACACATCCCTCCTCCTTCTTACCACACCCAACGCACACATCCTCTTAATTCTTACCACACTCTTACGTACACACCTCCCTTCCTCACCACACACCTCCCTCCTCCCCACCTCCCACCCTCCGCCTCACCACACACCGCCTCCCCACCCCACCCTCCGCCCCACCACACACCGCCCCTCCCACCTCACCCTCCGCCCCACCACACACCGCCTCCCTCCCCACCCCACCTCCCCCCTCACCACACCGCCTCCTCCCACCCTCACCCTCCGCCCCACCACACACCGCCTCCTCCCACCACCTCCGCCTCACCACACACCGCCTCCCTCCCACCTCACTCCTCCGCCTCACCACACACAACACCCGACGACCACCACACAGTATAGAACGTCTCAACCATAACAAGAGTCCCACATCTAATAATCGTCAATTTTCCCCCTAACTCGTGCTATATCAATGCCTCTGGTTAGGTTAGCTTAGGAGTTTTAATATATTTTTATCACACACACATGTAAGTAGCTACCTGGTGACACATACACGAGCCATGAAGGCACTTGTCGCATACGAGGACACATATAACACCTGGGAACACATATCATATCTGAGAACATATATGACACCTGAAAACACATACGACACCTGGGAATTCATATGACACCTGAGAACTTCTTCACCTACCTCCTCCTCACCTCCACTCGTTCCCTGAAAGACAAACAAAACAATTCGCCGTCGCCCTTACAAGAACGCGTGACGTCACCTTACAAGAACGCGTGACGTCACCTATAAAGAGCACGTGACGTCATATTGATTGCATGGCGTCACAGAGGCAGCGGTGAAGACAATAAAAACTTGTATTGTAGACAGGTGGAGTCAATATGCCACGCCACCCAGCCACCCCTGTACCTATGCCACCCAGCCACCCCTGTACCTATGCCACCCAGCCACCCCTGTACCTATGCCACCCAGCCACCCTTGTACCTATGCCACCCAGCCACCCCTGTACCTATGCCACCCAGCCACCCCTGTACCTATGCCACCCAGCCACCCTTGTACCAATGCCACCCATTCTTGTCCTCACGCATTTTTTAAACCCAC